AGAGAGAGAGAGAGAGAGAGAGAGAGAGAGAGAGAGAGAGAGAGAGGCTGGTAACTTCTTGTCATAGGCTCTCCACAAAAGCTCCTTTATTCTGGCCTGAGTTCTTGGTACCCCAGAATTTGTACCCAGCATGCTTAGGGGGCTTACATGAGGCCAGATGGAAAGCGTGGAAGGTGAGGTGGATGCTACTGGACAGCCTCTCCACTTCCGGCAGACTACATACAAGTCTTCACTGGTCACATTCATCATTAGGCCCAGGCAGCAGGCACTCTGCCTATCTCGCCTCTCAATGGTCTCTTACACCAGGGGGTAAGTGGTCACTGACTCATTTGCAATTAGCTGACCTAATGGGACAGAATTTTCCATGCTGGTAACAGAATTGTATTGTCACATTGGAGATATTTTGAGCCAGTCTCATTTCCAGGCAGTTGCTCTTTTGCATCTATGACACAACCTCTGGGCACAGCTGTGCTGGGAGGGTCCCTGATGAGGCCCAACAACTACACTCTCTTGAGTTTGGTGGGAAGAGTTCCAAGTCCATACTGTGACATTTGACCTACTCAAGCCAAGGTCAGAGGGGACTGGGTCAGAACCAGGAGGCTTCCAGTGGCCTGGGTCAGCATTCCAAAGCCTAGCTCTGTGGAGGAGGAGGGAGTTCAAAGAGGGAGAAGGTGTGTGATGACAGTGGTTGGGAGTGGTAGGTAGGCCACTCAGATAGGCAATCAGACCAATACAGGGAAATCTTGCAACCCAGGTCTGGGTTTTCATCATGATCTGTGGTGCAGGGCATGGTTCCTGCTTTTCCTATTTCTACAATATGCGTTTAGATTCCATGACCCTAAAGGTTCTTTATGTCAGAAATGTACCTACCAGTGTATATTTAACCGATATGACTAGTACCTGTTAGGTGGCAGCCTCTGCACCAAATTTTGGGAACATATGATGAACATAACAGGGAGCATCTGAATGGAAGCCGGTGAGAAAAATCAGCTGCCAGAAAGGATGGAGACTGTGGGGCATTGGGCTTCTTGAGAGAGGATGTCCAGAAGCGGCACACTAAGGGGCTGATGTGAGCTCAGAGCTAATGCATGGCGGAAGGCAGGTGTGGTGGTGACTGGGCAAGGCTAGTATAGGAGGGCATATATGCAAAGGGAGGACAGCTCATGTACCCCTAGAAAAAAGGGGACCTCTACGCCAGCAAGAGTCCTGAAGAGGAGGCCAGAATGACCTGCACTTGGGAGAGCACTTTTTAGTACACCTAGGATCTTGGTTTGTTTTCTTTCTGAGAAACTCTATTTACAGGCCTGAGGGCCCACCATCGCTCTACTCAAACAGTATCTTGTGGGTCCCCTCACGCTGCACAGCACATGGGTTGCAGATCTGATTTGGGATTATAAAAGCCTTGGCATGCTGTCTGCAGTCTCCTTGGCAACAGCACTTTGGTCCTTCTCCCTAGAGTTACCAGACAACCTCTACACCCTCTTTCTTGACTGTTCTTTTCTTGTGCAGTGGCTGTCCTTTGCTGTGTAAGGCATGCGGTCCTACCTGAGGGAAAAGCTCTCCCTGCTCCACCTGAGACTCCCCTTGAGCTCTGGGTAGCCAGTGCTCCTCATGGATTCCAACCCTCCTCTCTGTCTCCTGCCTTCCTCCCCCCCGGGATTCAGCTCCAAGAGGCAGAGGGGCTCCTTTGCCCGCCTAGCCTCTGGGGAACTGCCAATGTTGTCTCCAGCACTTCTGCTGTCTAGGTTTCAGCCTGTCTATCTCCCTCACAGGAGGCAGCCTCCCACCTAATCCCTTGGGGCTCCACTCTCCAACTGTCAGGGAAGACAGATGGGGAGCAGAAGAATCCACACACCCTCTCCTCCTTGCTGCCCTTGTCATCCTTGTTCCCTGGCTCCTGCTCTTGTTGGCCCCGAGCTGAGAAAGGGCATCTTTGAGCTGATGGCCTACAAATGTGAACTCTCAAAGGGAGCCTTAGCCCCTCCTCTTCCTCCCCTCTGATCATTCTAATGGCCAGTTTGCAGAGCTGTCCTCCTGACAGCGAAGAATGAAGAATGTAAGAGCAGCTCTCAGAGGCTCCTCTCTCATCCCTAAGCTTTTCTAGAGATCCTTCCCTCCTGTCTCTGCCAACACCTGTTCCTTGGTCTGACTTGCCCCCAAAGCATCCCTCTCCTGCCTACCCCCCACCAAATCCCATCTCTTCTCGACTCCTTCCTCTGTATTTGCACAGAGCCCAGTAATTTACCATTTCCTCCTTGCTTAGCTTCCAGGACTCCAGCAAATGTGAACCTAAAAGAAAGATGTTCTTTAAATGACAGGCACTAATAATAACCTTTGAAGCTGCTGGCTTGCTTTCTTTTCAAAAGCCTGTTTTTAGGCTGCAGTTCATGATTGACTTCAGCTGTAAAATGCTATTTTTAATGTCATTGTGTTTTACCTGGGAGTGCTGTTCTCTTGGGTTGATGGAATAGGACTTATTCCATAGGGAACGGCAGAACTCACGCCCATGCAACAATCATACTCAACGGGACACACTTGCTGGTGTGTCCACACAAAGGTACACCCACCACCATCACCACCCCGTCCCCTGCCCCTTGTATTCTAGTTGGGGATGGTCCTCCCTTTGGATTTGAGAATATTACAGAGTTGGAGCACATAGCCAGTCACTGGTTTGTGAGTGAAACACTAGCCTGACTCTGGCTCTGAAGACCTTAAGGCCTTCCCACTGATTGCTTCCTTGGACCAAAGTTTACTCTTGCTCACTGATTCTGTTCCATCAACTCTTGAGACTAGCATCTTGAAATGTTTTAGCTTAAATAAGATTGCTGTTGGGTACATGTAACTTCAAGCTAACTTTAATTTTGTGAACTTTCTTTCTCCTCTACAAGTACCCTTTCAATAGCCCCACTTCCAGGATGGAGCCTTGTTTGATGAGCAGCACTCCCAGGCTGCATCCTACCCCAGTCACTCCCCGATGGCCAGAGGTGCCGACAGCCAATGCATGCTACACAAGCCCATCTGTGCATTCCACGAGGTATGGAAACTCTAGTGACATGTACACCCCCCTGACCACGCGCAGGAATTCTGAGTATGAGCACATGCAACACTTTCCTGGCTTTGCTTACATCAACGGAGAGGCCTCCACTGGATGGGCTAAGTGACTGCTTTCATAGAAATCCATATTTAATATTAATAATTAATAATAATAATAATAAACCCAGTACCCACCCTACAGAAGACTTTATCTCAATCCATCATAACTTGTGGGCTGATCCTAAGCATCTGTTCTCCTAATGAACAAGAGGATGTTCAACATGGAATGAATAGACTTTAGTTCAGAAACAGGACTCACTAAAAGTCAGTGGGATTGAGTTCCCGTAGCCAAGCCAGACTTGACTGTTTCTATAGAGCACTATCTTGGGCAGGCTGATCTGTGCCTTTCCTGTCTGTTCCATGACCTTGCATGGCAACCACTCCCTGTAGGGTACTTATATTCTTGTTGACAAAGCTCTTTAGTCTTGAAGGATGGATACTAGAGCCAGAATCTGGTTTGTGTTCTTGGATGGGCACATAATTTACCAAGAACATTCATCTTGCCACCTGTCTGTCACCTCACTGTATGGTTACCAGCCCTCAGACATGTTATCCACATCCCTACTTCCTGGTGATGTCGTTACTACTTCCTGGAGTCCCTGGAAATTCCCGAAAATGCTAAGCTTCCTGTTTCACTTGCACCTGCCATAGTTCCTGCATTGTCCTGGACTGTAAGCACTGTTTTTGAGGGACCGAAGAGGCCTTTAGTTGACTGATGTCTATAGGGACCAGTTCTTCTATGTACAAGGATTTGTCCTAAGTTTGCACAATGGCTAGCATCAGCAAAAGGCAGGAGAGGGTTTTCTTAAGTTCTGTGAGAAATGTGGATTTATGGCACTAAGTACTGTCCTCCACTGTGTTACTTTGTGAAGCTGGATGGATCAAACTTTCACTTAGCAAGCACCAAGTGTGAAAACAACTGTCTGGTTTCTGCATAAGACTAGAATACTTTCAGACACTTTGCTAGAAAAAAAATTCAAAGCTGTGCCTTTGAGTCTATACTATACTGTGTATGTGTGGAGATAAAAAATGTATTGTACTTTGGGAAATTTTTTTCTTAGGTATTTTTTTTGTCAGATTTGTAGCTATTTGTGAGGTTTGTTAGAGATTAACATAGGTTTTCTTTCTGTATTATAAGATGCACCAAGCAATTATGGTGGACCTATTACCCTATGGGTAAGAAATAAATGGAAATATGACATCGGATGTTTTAGCAAATGTTCTGTAAATAAAATGTTTGATCACACCACCCAGTGTGATAATCATGTCTACAGCTAAAATGGAAATAGTTTTATCTGTACAGTTGTGCAAGATATGGATGGTTTCGCTATCTGTACAGTTGTGCAAGATACGAATGGTTTCACACTCAAATAAAAAGTATTGAAATGAGCAGCTTCCGGTTTTCATTTGCATTTGATATGCTGGGTGTCTGTCTCCAATATGAGTAACATTCTTAAATCCTTGGGGCATGAGTCGGCAGAACAAAACTAAAAAAAAAGCCTTGCTGGGTATGATGGTACATACCCAGGATCCCAGCATGCAGAAGACTGAGGGTGGAGAATAGTGAGTTCAAGGCCAGACTTCGTCCTGTCTCAGAAAACTAAAAGCAAGCAAGCAAGCAAGCAAGCAACAAAAGCCTTGTAAAGTTTTGTTACTCAGTTCCCTCCCAACTTGTCCTGACTAATAATGACCCAGTGAACACAGGTGAAGGTTTGCAGAGGACCTGTTCTACAAACTGGGATCTGCCCTGTGTTTGCCTGATGTCGTAGTCTCTCAGTGAAAGGCGAAGAGCCTTTCAGCTCTTGCAGGGACTACTCTTCCTCAGCACAGCATCAGCCAGCGTCCCCTGGCACTTAGTTCACTGTGCTTTAAGGATCATGGGGTGTGAAGGTATTTCAAATGCGTTGCTTTAAATGAGAATAAGCACAGCAGTACCATTACTGAGTTCATAACCAGAATTAAGTCCTCCTCCAGCACAGCGCTTCAGTTCTGTGGCTGAAGAGAGCAGGATAGAGAAGTGGTTTTATTTTGCCCGGATGTTAAGGATCTAAGAGCTAAGAGAGATTGCGAGGCATAGATTTGCAGAAGCGTATGCAGCAGTGACTGTGTTAACCCGTAGGTATGAGAATGTGACAGCTTCATTTGCATCCTGAAAGAGTTCTTTTTAAAGCCAAGCCCTTGCATGCTATTATATAACATGTTTATACCTGCGAGCTGATTTTAAGACGGAAATTATTTATGTTATACATAGCCTCCCCTTAAGTATATTCAGCTGTTATTCTACAAAAAAAGCACATAGGTGCTGGATCTCATTCTCCCTTGGTAAATTGGTTTGATCTTTTGTCCACAATCCATTAGCTTTATACGATGAAAGCAAGAGAGAGGATGAAGGAAAATTTGACTTTAGCCACAGTTGAGAATCACCCTCAGGATGAACAGCTTTACTGGCCTCTCAGACTTCAAAGTAAGTGCTGTATTAACAGAGGTGTGGTAAGTCTGACCTTTGTCTTAATGAGTATAAACACAAAAACAAAAACCCACAAAGCAACAACAACAATCCCAAGTCATTATCAAATTCTCTAGCCAGGTAACAAGATAAACAACACCCATTTACAAATAACAGCCGAAGCTCATTAGCTGCACAGCGCTTCAGGTGGAAACTTGTCATCATTAACAAGAACCTGAGGCCAAGAGATAGAGAAGACCTTCCCAAGTGAGCAAATGTGCTCGGGTGCCCTCACAGCACGACCAGGAATGAGTGATGCCAGCAAAGAAGCAGCTTGAGAAGAGGGCAAGCATCCTCTCCAGTGCTCAGAGCAGTCTGTGTTCCCAGCTGTTCTAAAACCTTCACCTGAGGAGATGGGAAGGCTCTGACTAGGAAAGGAAACAGCTGTTGAGGGACAGGACCTAGTGCCCTCTCTCTTTCTGGTGGCTCCTCTCTAGTCACCAGAGTGTGGATGGGGAAGGCTGGCAACTGGGAGTGGGGCCAGTCACTTGTCAGAGAAAAACAGAAGGGTTTTGGCAATGGGCTTTTCTCTTGAAAGGGCTTCTGACAGCTTGAGACTGGCCGAAGTCATGACCATCCCCCAGAATGGCTCACCCATGTTGTAGCCTGGTGGCATCCCTAGCATTTGCCCTGCTGTGTCCTTTGCCAGGCCTGTGGTCATCCCAGATCTAGATAGAAAGGGAACGTGTGACCCCTCAGAGACCGCAACCGATGCAAGTCCAGAATGTCTGCTATTGAGGAAGCCCAACAATGGGGTTAAAGGCTCAAATCACTAGGGTAGCCATTGCTTCACTGTCATACGACCTTGGACAGATTACCTCCTATTCTGAGCCTGAAGCAGGCATGTTAAGTGGCCCTGAGGTTTCAGATCATGGTGTTCATGTTGAAAGAGCAAAGCCTTAGGGAGTGAACAGTCAAGCTAGATTGGCAGCTAGGCAGTGATTCAAGACGGCAGTCGCAGGGAGGAGATACTGGCTTCTCCAGCTGGTGCCAACACACAGACTGAGGTCCAGGCCTGCAAGCTTGGCTGGTACACCTGCCCATCCCCTCCAAAGACTCCCACGACTGCCTCCTGTTCAACCCTACCCACCCTCCTCCTCCCACCAAGAATCTTTTGCAATTTTCCCTCCATTCAGAACTGGCTTTAGATCTATCAAAATGGCTGCTGTGAAGCTGGAGATGATTGGGGAGCCTCAGGTCTCCATTCCTCTCATTGGCAGATGGCAAGATTTTAAAATATTAGACCCTGGGAAAGGGTATGACATAACAGTGCTATTATAGGCAAAAGGGGAAAGAAGGAGTCGCCATGGGTTTCCTAGGAGGAAAGCACTCTGAAATTAAGATTTCTTGAGATCTGAACAAATGGCTCAAATATGTAAATCACCAGAAGCTTAAAAATACAAAAGAAGGTATATTCTTACTGACTCGGTCTTATTAATGTGATGCAGTGAGGCCAATCTTGGTCCTGCCAAAGACAGGCTGTAGCAGGGACGTTCCTATTCTAGAAAAGGATGTGACTTCGTGTGTCAGTGGATGTACTACTGTGACCAAGGCCCTCCACCTCAAAGCTCTAAGTTTCAGGGACCTAGTTCACTTGAGTTCCGGGTTTCTTTCTTTCTCTTTCCCTCCAGGGTTCCAATGTATCTAGCCGCGCGAGCCATTAACTGTGTAAGCAGTTTGCTACAGCCTACACTGTACCGGTTTCCTTAGCAGACAGACCTTCCGCTCTCTGCTGCTGCTCGGCTCTCCGTGTACACCAGCTCCCTGTCACTTTGCATTACTTCTCGAACCTACGACTTCTCAGCTTTGCTTCCTTGGCAATCTCCCAGCCTCAGCCAGCCTGGACACTGTCCTTGGGGATTCCTCTTGTTCCTCGGAGGTCAAAGCCTTTAGTGCTTTGCTAACCTCCTTCCCGAGCTCTCTCCCACTCTCCTCCTGCACCCCAGAACTCCCTCCCAACCCTACCACCCCCACATTTTGCTGCTGCTGGTGTAGGTGGGGCAGAAGACGTGGGCCGCGGAGTTAAGAGCCGTTGCTAGGAAGGGAGTGTGGGTGATGAGAGGGGGTGGGCGGGAGAAATAGGACTCCCCAGTCTTCCGCCCCCCTTTCTCATTAGAAACGCTTCAAGAGCTAACACCGGTTCTTTGAGATCTATTATGAAAAAAAAAAAAAATCGGGTCTGACCATGACAGCAGGGGTGAGAAAAATCAGCTTCAGAAACAGCTGCACGGCCGATGGATGGTATTTATAACGGTTTAATGGAAAAGCCTGAGAAAAGCTTGCGATAAGTTCATTCTCAAAAAACTGACAAACTGTGGCCCTCTGAAGGTTGGTATCCAAGATGTCCTGGCACGCGCCTAACCTCGAAGAAAAGCAGGACCCTGCCTCACTTTCTTCAGCTCACACGCAGTGGTCTCTGACCGCTCGGAAACATACCTATACTATTGCTTGGGGTCTGCTAGGTACCCGGCCTCTCAGATATTCACCTTAACACTCCCTGCCTGCCAGTGGTTTTCACACTTTATTTCACCCCCTTGTTCAAGGGCACACAGCTTAAAGGGC